TTGTACGTCATCGATATCCACTTCTAAATTTATTTGCCTGACAAGATCTACAACTTCCTCAATCCCATTACCAAACTCATTAGGCGAAGGCACAAATTCCGTTTGAGTTTCAGTGATGGAAAAAAAAAGGAAGAATTGACGAGATTTGAAAATCGCGTAACTCCGGATTCACGTAAGTTAGATAGCTTGTGAAAAGGCCCCCCTCGGGTGACCTTCTCTTTGATTATTCGCGTGAGCTAGAGGTGTAGGATTTTCAAAGGAACAGACATGTTTATATATTCTTAATATGTCTTTATTAAGAACTATAACTTAAACTTTTAACAGATTGGATAATGATTATATATGTGAGAATCTACGATGAACAAACACACACATACAAGTAATATCGAATTAATCTTACTCGGACCACTATCAATATTTAACCCACCTAATCTCAATTTCAATAATAACGCAAGTCCTAATAGTAAATAATCAATCCTACCTTAATCCAATTGTAGCTCCGATTCTAGGGAGTAGCGTCTTTATGCAAGTGCAATGGTATGCACCTTGACCTAATAGCTTTATCTTCGGAATAACCTCTGTTGGCTGTCCTTTCACAATTGTATCAATCTCTCACATAACATTCCCCAAATTGCCATTTTTCTTACTGAAACTTCTGTTATTTAAAAGCTATCTAATTTGCATTTAATCTTCACGTTTCACTTCTTGGGGTTTGGTTGGAAAAGAGTTGCCATTAATCTTGGCCCCCAAAAGTACCCAAAGGACATGTTAAAGAAAAGACACGTGAGCCCGTCACAAGCGTAAGTTGAAGTATTACTGTATATAGTCTATTAAATTATATCGTTATATATTAATAGTATTGTATACTTTATTAGGTAATAATTATACATTTCTATAACATTTCTTCCTTTCCCTACGGACCAGTGTATAGGCAAATTACAATTAAAAGTTGACTGGTCGCAAAACTTTGTTTAAATTAGCAGTCTTGGTTCCTAAGGCCAAGAGTTTGCTATTGTACTACTCCGGCTAATATTTCTTTATGCCTTGACTGATTATACTTATATATATAACTATTTTTATATATATATATATATATATATATATATATATATATATATTTGTGTGTTTGTGCGCGCGTGTGTTTATACCAGAAACAGCAAAACCTTTAAAAAAAAGTGTGTGTGAACTTATGTAATTTTATGTACTTTATGTATTTACGTAATAAGTTATACTTCTTTAGTGTAACAAGATTAAAATCTTTCTAAAAATCTTTAGCAGAGCAAGCTGGGCCAAAGACGAAAGGTGGTCACGAGCAGAGTTGAACGATACTAACCTTCAGTCAATCGGACCAGCCAAATCTGAGATAATCACGATTTAAATAAATTTAAACACCCCCGCCCAGGGACAATATGACTAATATTATGGGGAGGGGGTCGAAGGCGGGAATGATCTGTCCTGTTCTGCATATTTCTAGACAAAGCATTTTCGTACCCGTTCCTACGGAACGCAAAGCAAAGGTTCGCTGACGCGGGGGTATAGCTCAGTGGTAGAGCATTCGACTGCAGATCGAGAGTTACCCGGTTCAAACCCAAATGCTCCCTTCTTCAGGGAAGTGAAGAGAAACATTTTTCTGAGAATTTCGAAAGCGGGAATTATTTGTCCCGTTCTGTATATTTCTAGACAAAGGATTTTCGCATCCGTGACGGTGTGCGTCACATCCGTGACGGGGTGCGCGCGCATTGTAGAAATTTACCCTCATCCTATTTCTCTAACACCCCAAAAGAAGTATAACTTAAAAATTATATAATTCTACAATATACTAACAATCTTTTAAATGAAATCTAAACATTTAAGTAAGGAATTTTCTTCCTTACACCAAATTTATCAGAAAAAACGATT